CAGTTCATTGGTGGTCAGAGGGAAGTTTGCCACCCTTACAGACATCTAAAAAGCGCAATGGGTGTCTTGTGGCTGGCTCTGTAGTGGCATTGCCTCCGGAACTATGCAGGCACCATTAAATGTGCGGTAAACTGGCCACAGCACAAGGAACCCCAAGCAACCTCTGCAGGATCCTTGGGTGAAAATGACTGCTCTGGGTTTTCTGTAACCATAAACTAGTGGGTTTCACATAATATTGTTCAGTTTCCACATTGCAACAGACAAAGTCTGAGCATTTCCAGTCAATACCAATGGAAAGCCCAAGGCCACTTGGAAAATTATTTGAAGAATATTGGTAAAGAAAACTACAGCGTTGAATATGTTTGCTCATGTTTCTTTTGTGGTCTAATGGGGAGATTTCTTTTTTAGATACTAGGGTTGGATAGGCTGCCCCCCCATCCATGGCAGTTCAACAACGTAGGTAGCAAGTAGAAAACTGCTTGATAACTGGTGCTTTTTTGGCTTCCAGCACTAGCCCAAAATAAATGGCAGAAGAGGGAAGGGCATGTGTCACCTTCTGCATTCCTGTTGCCGCCACCTGTCTTGGGCAAGTGCTTGGAGTTGTGCCAAGCACCAGTTGTCAAGCAGCGGTCTCCTTGCTAGCTGTGGTGTTGGAAGACCACAGGGGAAAGGGAGCGGTCATCCTGTCCGACCTTGTCACTAGGCTCACGAAGCACCAAGGAACATGGGACAAAGTACTGCATGGACCTTGTCCCCTGGGGGACAGAAGACTGAAAAATTGAAGCAAGAGTTCTTCTTTGAATTAAAACTTCACCTTTAAAACAAAAACATCCCTCCTCCTTGGTGCCTTACCCAATCCAACCTTGCCAATGTTGCAGCCAGCAACAGCACCCAGGGCTTTCAGATATGGGCCAGCATAGGACCTCCTATGGGTCAGTGTCCATGTCTAATACAGTCGCTAGGTCCAGGTAGCATCACTGCACTCTTTAGCTGCCAACTTAAGTATTTTAGTGCACGTTGTAAAGCAGACAGGAGTGGTGAGGGCTCACTGACAAGGTAGGAATCCAAAGATTGGTTTTGACCCTTCACAAAGACAATGTCACTTCTCTCTGAATAGGCAATACAACAGGGTCTCTTGAAGTCTGATGGCGCAATCCTTCCTTTAAGTGAATGCTCACAAACAAAAGGACTGCAGCCCTCTGATTTGTGGGAGTACAGTAACATCTTCGATTTAGCTAACTTCTTCCAACTTTCACGCCTTGTGACATATCAGAACAAGCAAGTCACATGCATAGTTGTGTTTGATATCCTAACGCTCTTCCTCAGTGTGATACGTACACAGCTCACAGTCATTTTACATTTCAGGTTCCACCAATGGCTTGGGGATTTGTCTGGTGTCACCAACTGCCGTAGAATTTGAACGTTTGCAGGTCAGCCTGTATATGAACGTCCAGTTTGATGTTTAAGTCAGGATTATCACTCTTCCTGCACAAAATGAAGAAGCAGAATATAAGGACTCTCTCTCTGATTCTGTGCATGTTTTCCTATCTCTTGGTGGGAGCTGCTGTCTTTGATGCCCTCGAATCAGAGTCTGAAAGCTCTAGAAAACGGATCTTGGAGGAAAAAAGGACTGACCTGAAAAAGAAATATCATTTTTCTGATGAGGACTATCGAGAGATTGAGCGTGTGGTTCTGCAGTCTGAGCCTCACCGTGCAGGCAAGCAGTGGAAATTTGCCGGCTCCTTTTATTTTGCTATTACGGTAATTACTACCATAGGTAAGAGTTTGCCTATTTATTCAATCACATTCATTCCAGACAGAGCACAACATATATCCTGCCTTTGATTTAAATAGCAGACTGTAGTAAATGGTGTATTGTGTCCTGAAAACAAACCTTTTAACTTTTCACACTGATTGCATGCTCTTTAAAATCTAATCTTTTTTGCCTTCAGTTTTTGGCATTGTCCAGGGGTGTCAAGCTGGTGGCCCTCCAGCTGTTGCAAAACTACAAGTCCCATCATACCTCTGCCTTTGGGAGTCATGCTTGTAACTGTCAATCTTGCATTGCCTCATGGGACTTGTAGTTTGGCAACAGCTGGAAGGCCGCCAGTTTGACACCTGTGAATCTAACCAGTTAAAGAAGGTTGCCTTTGTTTTCTTTTTTTGCTTTTTATTGGTTTTCCAAGAAAAGCTTATTAAAGAGGAACTTCAGTCCCCTTGATTGTCGCTGTGCCCCTCTCCACCGGTGCTGCCATTTTCGGTACGCAGATGCACTGCAGGGCTCTTCGGGACTTAGCAGAGCCTTGTGGCGGATCTACGCACGCGCTGAACTGTGCTCATTCACACATAGGACTGGATGTCCCGGACCCCCTTCACTGCACCACGCTTGTGTAGATGTTTCAAAGGTCTCTGCTGGGTCCCAAAGCCTACCAGAGACCTTCGGCACATCTGTGCATGTATGCGCAATGTCATTCTCGCCTAGGCAAGAAAGGGGATAGTGCTGCCCTGAAAAAAAAAAATAGATCCAATTATAGAGGGAGGGGGCTGCAGCCAGGTATACCCTCTTCGGATGAAGATCCACCTTAAAGTTTTGTATGCAATTTTACCTTCATGCATTCTTTGCATTAAAGTAAAACTCCCCAGTACCCTTTTTCTCTTTTTTTTTTTTTTTTTTTTTTCCCTTTGCCCTTCCCCTTCTCCAAACAACTCTTCAATGACCGCTGCCCATTCCTCCATGATCTGTGCTGCTTCCCCGATCTTCAGATTGTAGAGGACAATACTGAGGGCAGCTGAGCGATAGGCTCCTGCTGCCATCAGTCAAATTGCTACGGGAAAGGACTATCCGGGTGCTATGTGCATCAGTGACTCCTTAGCAGCCAGCTAGCTAAAGAGACACCCGCAGTCCTGAAGAGGGGCCAATGCCCTGGAGAAGAATAGTGATCTTTATACATGTATAAAGAAAAAAAAAAACATCTTCCTCTAATGCAAGTGAGGACTTTCTGCTAAAAGGAAAAACAATTAATAAATAGGGATTTAATATCCCTTTACACCCCGGCCACACTGGATGCGAACTGGCATGCAACTTGCATGCCATGCGACTTGCAAATCGCATGCCAAGTTGCATCCTATTGTCCACAATTACAGCGGTCATATTGGTGCAGTTCTGACTTGGTCAGAGATTTCTACAGTAGTACATGCACTACTTTTGTTGCGTTTTTTCTTTTTTTTTTTTTTTTCATAGACATCTGTGTCAGATGTCTTGCAAATCACACCTGAAATTGGCATGTCATCTGACTTTGAAATCGTGCGACTTCACTGTAAGTCGCACAATTTCAAAGTTGGGTTTGTTGTGACCGGGGTGTAAATCTCACAAGGATCCTAATAGAACTGAAAGAAAATTTGTCTTGGTTGCTTATAGTAACCTTCGAAATTCCAGTTCACATTTTTCTCATGCAGGTTAAGCTGGCCACACTTTACAAATTGATTGTACAATTACCTCTGGCTTGTGAACTCATTATATAGTCGGCATATAATAAAGTACGGTATACTTTCAGGTGCTCCTGAGATGTTGACTGACATTTGAGATCGTTTGACTCGTCTTTCAGTCGCTCAAAAAAATGCTTTAAGCTACTTTTGAGTCTTTGATCTACATCAAGCTGCTTTTGCATTCACATTGGTTTGCATGGAGAAGCTCAGAGGCAAATAAATGCCCCCTGTACATGAGCCCTTGGGTATACCATGAAATGTGTAACTTGAAGGCCAACTTAATTACCACATTTTGTTTGCATCTGGGTTACTTTTATTCCCCAAGTTACTATGGCAACACTGAACTACTCTGATGGGGGGGGGGAAAGTAAAGCAAATTGTTTAAAAAAAATTACAACATTGAAGAAAAAAAATGTGTTCTATATATATATATATATATATATATATATATATATATATATATATAATTATTTTTTTTTTACATTAACATGTCACCAGTCAGTGTCCCTGATCACTGCCACGCCAGTGATATGATACCTTGAGGCTGTACTGCGCCGGTGTCAGTATATTACACTTTTTTTTTTTTTTTAATTTAATTTCTTCATTTTGCCAAAAAATGACAACATCAAGAAACTTGCCATGCTTCTTACTAAATACCTCAGACTGTCTACTTTCTGAAAAGGGTTCATCTGGGGGGGGGGGGGGGGGGGGGGGGGTTATACTGTTTCTGGCATTTTAAAGGCCTCAAGAAATGAGATGGGCAGTTTGTGCATCAGGATTGATCAATTTTCAAATATATATCTAATAGTTTGTGGACTCTAACTTTCCTACAGACTAAATAATAATCGGGTGTGGATGTTTTGGAAAAAAAATACTTGTCCAGGGGCTAAATCAGTGCCCCCATCTACTTGTCCCGCATGATAATCTACTTGTCCAGAAAAAAAAAAAAAATAGTTTTACCAAAACTGTATTTAAATCGGAGGTGATATTAGGAATGTCTGGGGCTTTTAAAAAAAAAGGGGCTTTATGGCGATTTTAAACGTTTTAATATTTTTAACATTGCGCTGTTTATCTCTTCCTCCCCTCCCTGCCTCTCTCCAGCACCGCATACAGGGACTAGCAGGGAGGGGAGAGACCTTGCAGTGTGATGAACACCGATTGGCTGCTCCTCAGGAAAGGGGAGGGTTGGGCTTATCCTTTACCCCTTTCGCTGCCAGAGCCGTTTTTTGCACAAGTTTAAAAAAAATAATTTTAGGGCTGAAGATTACATAGAACCCCCTAACATATTTTCTGAAAGCAGAGACCCTAGAGAATAGTTGTAGATCCAATTTTTTTATGTCGCATGATATTACTGAAAATTTCAGTAAAAAATACAAGCAAGCTCATTTTAGGGCACAGAAAAGTAACAAATTACCATATTTTGTTTGTAAAATAAAAAAGATGAGGTTGCAGCGAGTAAATAGATATGCAGCTTGCCAAACCTTAACTGTGTGCACACTCGTGAAATGGCGACGAACGTAACCTCCCTGGCGGTATTCCCAAGTGTAGCTCGGGGTATAGTTTCAGTACCACAAGGGGTAACCCTGAGCTGCACTCGGGCTTACCATGCGGTGATGCTCCGGGATCTCTTCTTCACTTACCTTGTCCTGCGCGCCCGCGATGTCTCCCCTGCAGTGTCCCCGACAATGTCCTCCAGCCAATGCCAGCATCTATCTTCTGGGTTCTGTCCCCTGCGAGCGTCGGGATGTATGGAGACGGAACGGCGGGAAATTTGAAAATGACAAAAAGTGACATTCACTAAAATCACTAAAATCACATAGTATAACATTACTGTATCAAACCCATTTCACATACATTTTGTCCCGAGTGCTTTGTCCTGTGCCCTACCTACATTTTTACTGTGCTTTCTGCCTGGAAACTGAGAAATGTCCATGGCGTCCAAAAAGCGCCCCTTTAGGTCAAAAGCGGTTTTAGACCAGCTAGAGAACAGCGATAGTAAATTAGAACCACTTGCAGAACTGAGTGATAATGATTCGTGGGGGAAATTCGTCATCAGACACTGAAAACGATTTTGTAACTTTGCTCAGTGATGTGCGAACTTGGTGCTCTATTTCTAATTTCAGTGTTTTTGGTTTGATTATATTATTGAATTAAATTTATTATATTATTATTTCTTATGATTATTTATTAAATTATAATTTATGATTTTGTGTTTCAAATTTTAGCACACCCGGGATGTTTACTAGACTCTTGTTCGGACAGATTTCAGTGAGTTATTACTAAGAATTACAGGCCTACAATAAAAAATATATATATTTCCATGCAAAAAAAAATGTACCGCTTTGAGCACAGAAATACTGACATAATCAGACGGCTAGGGAGGTTAAGTACCCTATATTTTCTATAGGTTGACACGTTTTAAGATCCTTATAGGTCATCAGTTTAGTGTTACCGAGGAGGTATGGTGCTAGAATTATTGCTCTCATTCTGGCGTGTGCGGCGATATGCAATGTGTATTGGAATTGATGTTTTCATGGGTAGGTGCCCCAGTGTGTGCTTTTACATTTGTATGTGGGGTGGGGGCCTCAATTTTTTTTTTTGGGGGGCATGGTATGTGCTTGGGTGTAACTTTCATTTTTTACAATTAAAAGAAAAAAACAAAACAAAACTTTTTTTTTTTTTTTTGTTTTTTGTTGCTATTTGTACTTTTTTCATTATAGAAGAAAAAAAATTAAAAACCCCAGTGCTGATCAAATACCACAAAAAAAAAAACTAAGTGTGTGAAAAGAAATTATATACATTTCTTTTGTATACAGCGTTGCATGACCACGCTATTACCAGTTAAAGGAACTCAGTGCTGAATAGCAATAAATGGCCTGGTCATGAATGGGGCAAATCTTCTGGAGTTTAAATAGTTACATAGTTAGTCTGGCTGAAAAAAAGACAAAAGTCCATCCAGTTCAACCATAAAAAAAAAAAAGCGGAACTCCCCATGTTGACAAAAACCCCAACATACTTGTACTCACACACAGTACTTATCCCTGGCAGTAGGGGTCTCCACAGTGCATGTTGCATTACAGGATGAGGGGGGGAAGAGGTGTTGGGGCATTTTTAGGGAATTTTTGTGTCGTAGTCTGCAGGCTGTTTAAAAGTATGGGCAGATTTGGCACATTTTCTGTCCATCACTTTATTAATTACAGGTACTTGTATAGTGCTGTCAATTTACACAGCGCTTTACATATACTGTACATTCACATCTGTGTACAATCTAAGGTCCCTAACTTACATACACATACTAGGGCCAATTTAGACAAGAGCCAGTTAAGCTACCAGCATGTCTTTGGAGTGTGGGAGGAAACCCACGCAGGCACAGGGAGAACATGCAAACTCCAGGCAGGTGGTTCCGTGGTTGGGATTCGAACCAGCGACCCTAATACTGCCAGGCGGAAGTGCTAACCTTTTAGCCCCTGTGCTACCCACTTACTACATCTTGGCTGAATACTTATTTTTGTATTGTGCTGCTCTGGTTTTACCCTTTCGTGACCAGAGACGATTGATTCCTAGGCTAAATTGTGCATCATCAGCATGCATCAGTTACCGTAACAATCTTTCCATGACTTACTTACACCCTTTAATAATTTGTATACATATTTATTATTTACTAAGGGCATTTAAAGGATAAGTTCACTTTTGGGAACATGGTGCATGTTCCACCTGTTTTTAGGGTGAAACATGTTCCCACTGCTGCCCGCTTCACTGCATCAAGTGACAGCTAGTGGGGGATCTGGAGGGCTGCTTGGAGATGCAGAAATTCATTACAGGCAGTGCTGGTCTGTTCTAGGTGCTTCTCAAGCAACTGGTGTTGCCTGCTCAGCACCTTCCACATTTAGAGCCAGTTCACACCACATGCTGTGCAGTGTGTGGTGCTGTTTTTTTTTTTTTTTTTTTCTGCATCAAAAAACACGTGGAAGTCTGTTTATATGGTTTCCAATGGCATAATTCACAACAGTGCGTTCCAGTTCCAGAAAAGGTAGAACAAGCTGCTTTTTTTTTTTTTTTTTTTTGTTTTGTTTTTTATTTTTTTTTTCCCTACACTGGACAGTACTGGAATGCAGTAAAATGCATACAAACCGCACCAGACCCCAGTACAGTTAAGAGGAAAAAAACATCTTGAAATGCATCAAAAACACATTGAAACACATCAAAATCACGATAAAGCTGCACATGCAGAAGTGCATCCAGAAAAGATCTGCAATGTGTTTTCCAGTTCACACCAGATGCAGTCCAGTGCTCCCCTCTTTTTTTTTTTTTTTTCTTTGCATCAAAAATGCATGAACAGTAGGTTATATGGGTTCCAATGGCCTAGTTCACACCAGTGCGGTCAGTTCCCGTGCAGAAGAGAAAAAGTAGTTGCATTTTTTTCTGCTCTGAACTGTACTGGAACACGGCAAAGCACATAAAGAACACAGATCCCTATTTAGGATGAATAAAAAAACGCAAATGCCTAAACGCATCCAGACTGCATTTCTGTGGTGTGAACTTAGAGAATTTCTTGTGTGGTGTTTTTTTTTTTTTTTGTTTTTTTCAATAAATACAAAGCATTCTTTGACTGAACAAGATTGTGGTGTCATCTGCTGCTACTCTCCATCTCATTTAATCAGAGGGTCAATGAACTACCTAGAGTGCTCATGAGTGGTGCAAGCCGTCAGCCACAAAGGCTATCAGTACATGTAGTTTCCCCTTCACGGAACTCTGTGAATGAATGAGGTGGCTGCATGGACGGAGCCCCGCACGGCCAAGTTCTCTTCAACTTGTGACAGTGGGTACAGGAAGGAGATCCCAGGCCTGCTGTCACAACGAGGGGGTGATTGGTGAGAGGGTGCAGGAGTGGGAACATGTTACATGTTTTGCCCTAAAAACAGATGGAACATGTTCCCAAAGGTGAACTTACCCTTTAAAAGACCAGTGGTTGGCGACTTGAGCCAGTATTTGCATCTCCAGCAGCCCTCTGGATGAGAGATCAAAGAAATAGGCTGAACCAAACTAGGCCAACGTAAGTTTCTCAAAGAAAATTCCTGGAGTTCAACTTAAATTTTGCAACACAAGGGCATGTATAACAATCTGCCATAACCCATCTAATATTGGGTAGGTTCCTCTTTTGCCATCCAAACAGCCCTAATCTGTTGAGGCATGGACACCACTAGACCTCTGAAGGTAGGCTGTGGTATGTCACCAAGCCGTCAGTAGCAGATCCTTTAAGTCCTGTGAGTAGTGAGGTGGGGGGCCTTCATGAATCAGACTTTTTTTTTTTTGTTTATGGAGCTCATGTCACAGATGTTCAATGGCTTGGAGAATTTGGAGGCCAAGTTCACACCTCAAACCTTTCTTGAAACATTTTTTGCAATCTAGCAGGGTGCACTGTCCTAATGAAAGAGGTCACTGCCGTTAGGGAATACAGTTTCCATGAAAGGGATATACCGTATTTGCCGGCGTATAAGACGACTTTTTACCCCTTGAAAATCTTCTCAAAAGTCGGGGGTCGTCTTATACGCCGGTATACGGCATACTGACACTTTTTAGGGGGGGGCGGCGCGTTGCCGCCGCCGCCCCCCCCCTTCCCCCAATGGAAGGGACACTAAGTACAGGGTGTGGGCAGCGGCTGTTTCTTACCTGGTTCCGGTCCCACGACGATCCGGTCCAGGAAGCGCGGCTGCGCCTTCAGTTCGGCCACTGGATGTTCGTGCGGCTGCTCGGCTCCGCCTCCTCACCAGTGATTGGCCGCCAGAACTGTAGCTCAGGAAAGGCACACAGGCGGCCAATCACCGGCGAGGGGGTGGAGCCGAGCGGCCCCGCGAAAATCGAGTGCAGGACCAGCAGGTAAGTGGTCAGTGTAGAGGTGCTGCTGCAACCACATATGCTAGCTGCAGCAGCACCATACGAGAACAGGGTCAGAAAGTGTCAGTGGGAGGAATAGTGCCCCATCATTGGTGTCACTGATACCAATGATGGAGCACTATTCCTCCCACTGATACCAATGATGGAGCACTATTCCTCCCACTGATACCAACGATGGGCACTATTCCTCCCACTGACACCAACGATGGGGCACTATTCCTCCCCCCCCACTGACACCAACGATGGGGCACTATTCCTCCCCCCCCACTGACACCAACGATGGGGCACTATTCCTCCCCCCCACTGACACCAATGATGGGGCACTATTCCCCCCCCCCCCCAACCACTGACACCAATGATGGGGCACCATTCCTCCCACTGACACCAATGATGGGGCACCATTCCTCCCACTGACACCAATGATGGGGCACTATTCCCCCCACTGATACCAATGATGGGGCACTATTCCCCCCACTGATACCAATGATGGGGCACTATTCCCCCCACTGATACTAATGATGGGGCACTATTCCCCCCACTGATACTAATGATGGGGCACTATTCCCCCACTGATACTAATGATGGGGCACTATTCCCCCCACTGATACTAATGATGGGGCACTATTCCCCCCACTGATACTAATGATGGGGCACTATTCCCCCCACTGATACTAAATGATGGGGCACTATTCCCCCCACTGATACTAATGATGGGGCACTATTCCTCCACTGATACTGATGGGGCACTATAACTGATACCAGGGGCACACTATTCCTGCCACTAATGCCAATGATGGGGCACTATTCCTGCCACTGATACCAATGATGGGGCACTATTCCTCCCACTGACACCAATGATGGAGCACTATTCCTCCCACTGATACCAATGATGGGGCACTATTCCTGCCACTGATACCAATTATGGGGCACTATTCCTGCCACTGATACCAATGATGGGGCA